TTCCTACAGCATATAAAACAACTCCTGGATTAGTTTAACAAACCCAAGTGCATTATTAAATTAGATATGGGGATGTTTAGGGATGTGAGCACACAGCTTTCACAGCAAAGTCATTTATTCTTGTCCTAATGCTGCACAGTCCTTCATCATCTCCTCTCCACTTCATATTCACCGTAGCCTCTGGGTCTTTTTCACTCAAAATATGTTCAGAGAGCAGGGAGACAATGATGCAATGGAAATAAGCACTCCAATGCTCATACATATTCATAGACATAGATCCCTGCACTGACAGGCTGTGTGTTTAAGTAATGGTAGGAGCTTCATTAAGAGCACCAGCAGCAGATTAGCATGTTATGTTGTGCTTTTCCTTCCTTCCTCGTCCACATCTCCTCTGTGGCTCTGATTAAATGAGAAGCTCTCAGGTTTGGCTGGGCTCCAGCGCTGTTGGCCCGGGGCAGTTAGACCTCCTCCACATACCTCAGTTTTATACCTCTCTCCATTATTGTCTCCTCCTCTCCCCCTCCACTGGGACTTGTGATATTGGACTCAGTTTTTACCCAGAATGCCGAGTGTCTTCTCTCAGCCTGTGGTGACAGTGACCTTGGCTGTATGAGCTGAAATAGAATAAGATAAAAGTGTGCTGACCCTGTCTCCCATTACAGTCTAATGGTTTACATGGCACATTCCCCGTGAGATCTGAGGCTCACGGCATGGGGCAGGGTCAGGGGTCAGCGGGCGGCTGAGAGGTCATCGTAAGGTCATTGGTAAAGCCCACACTGCGTTTGAAGCTTCACTTAGCAACAATAAACAGAGCACAACTGTGCAGCACTTTCATCAAATCTCTTCCAGCACATTCCTCCCTCTCCAAGTCTCCGGAGCGCTGCCATATACATCAAACACAGAGAATTATTCTTCAGCTGCATCTGCAGCCAACAGCCGCTGATAAAGCTGTATCTGCGCTGACAGCAGGACACAAAAACAACTCACTGTGTTTTCAGACACTGTAGTAACCAAACATGGACCAATAAACACACAGAGCACCAGCTCATTTCCTAAAGACTGCTGTTGAAACACAACCTTCTGCAGAGGGTCAAATCCAACTTCACAATCTTCTCTGATCTTTGTGGTGTTAGTAATTGGAGCTGCCCATATTATTTCATTATGACAGAGTCTAATACGTCAGCATTATCAGGGCTATCTGATATCCTGCTCTACATTAGCATAGCTGCCAGGCAAGTGCACAGTCACCCATTTAAGTTGATCCTCAAAGCAGAGTTAGTGGAGCTTAGCAAAATTTTTTGATCCGTATTGCACTTTATGATTCTTCTAAAGTGGAGTGAAATGCAAATCAGAGGCTAAGATATAACAACCAAATTGGATTTGGTGGAAGAACATTATCAATGCAAATGAGACAGAGCAGAAGGGGCACTACAGTGAGCTAACAGGTGCAAAGCCACAAAATGACATCTTTTCAGAACTAAAACTAAAAGTTAAAGCAACAGCATTTTGTTCAGTTCAGTGGTGACGCAGCAGTTCTGCGCCAGAGAACAGCTCAAGGTTGAACAGTCCCCAAACTTTAACTAGTTCCTCTTTTTTCAGGGTCTCCTTTGGGGCCACACAGGCCACACAGACTGGCAGAGATAAGTATGTTGTAGAACTGGTGTAGAGGAGACAGATGAGACACAGGAAAAATAAAAATTAAAAAAAGGGAAAAAGGAAAGAACTCATCCTCATTAAAGTCAGGTTTGAGTTTTTGTTGTGACAAAGTGCTCTGCACGGAGTTAAAGGTCAGTCGTGCTCAGCACAAGTGATGGAGACTGTACAGTTACTGCAGAGGTTACAGAGGGCCACAGGGTGCTTGGACCTCTAGGTCAGGAGCACCTTTGAGGGTGTCATTTTCAAACAGAAAAACACTGTGCTCGTATTCAGCCTCAATCTCTCCTGTTCTTGGACTCCTCTACACACTTCCAGCTTGATGCACAGGTCCAGTCCTCTGGCACTGGTCTCAACTGGAGGCTAAATATAGTGAGTGAGGTAGAGCTGGAGGTATTATTATCACTATGAGCTCTTGTGTTCTTCCATAATGACCAGCGGCTGCACCTGTCTCTCCAGGCCAGCCCCCTCAGGTCACTCTAAATATAGCCCCCCTGCCCCTCTCCTGTGGCTCCACTACACACCACTGCACCTCGGCACTGTATCCTCCGCGCCCTGGTCTGGTGCAGGCCCAGTGCCAGGCCTGGCCCTGAGGCGCTCCAGGACCGCCCCTTTTATAGACACTTGATGACATTAGAGTGGTGGAGGGATCCAGTGGCTCCAGAGAGGTGCTGTCCGGCATTCTCCCTGTGATTATCACTGCAGTGTGGCATGTATCTGCTGCTGCCACACTATATTTGGACACTAACTACAGGAGAGAGGGATGCACTGAGCTTTCATACACTCACGGGGGTATGAGGAATTACCTTTTAATAACTTAGTTAATGATAATGTCTTAGTGCAGAGGTGGGGATTTATCAGTTTTGCTATGACTATATTTTTTAAGAACACAGTTTTAAGTTTGTTAGTAAGTAATTTATATGATTAAATGAAAGTACAGTTCCACATTTGTTTCAACATAAAATAACCAACCACTTAACACAAAACAGAATAATTTCTTAAAACAATTCAGATCATCAAACATGACAATAAAAAGCTACTTCTTCAGTGACTCTATGACAGAGGCAGTATTAAAGACTTGTTGAACATATTAATACTCAACAAAATAAGACATTTACTGAGTTTTTGTTTTGTTAACCGCCATTTTTGCCTTGAGAAACTGTCCAGAGCTGTAGGCTATAAAACATGTGTGCAAAGCACCAGAAGATGGACTTCAGAGGAATAAGAAATGGACTGATACAGAGAATACCGCAGAATAGCCCAGAGTCATCCCCAAACCTAATATCACCACACAAACGCCTGTCCGGGTTACTGACAATGGACCCAGTGTCACCTGCTTAACCCACACCTAATGCTGCTTATCTGCTCTGAAGCTCTAATGCGATCTTCTCTTTTGCTTTTACCTTCAGGCGTTACCAATCGCAAATCTGACCACTATTTTGCAGTAGTAAAAACTTTTGTGTGAAAAAGTGTGAAACAGTGCTTAAGTAAGTCAGTTTTTGTTTAAATTTTGACATTTACACAGTCAAATATTAAATATCTATCTGTATTAGGGATGGGCATTCGATGAAATTTTCTTAATCGATCATTGGAAGAATTAACGATCGATTATCGATAAATCATTAACGTTTTTATATTAAAATGATCATCATTATTATTACTATCTGCACTACTACTCTGCATAAATAAATTCAACTTTACGACATATAAACCGTAACGACTCTAGAGCCACATCAATCCATTTGAGATTATAATGTGTTTAATTCAGTTTTGCGCAACTCTCACAGAAACGAAACTTAAAACCGCATCGCTAATTTGCATAAACTCAGCAAAGATAAAACTACAGCTCTGTGTCGCTGATGCGGTCAACTTCTGTCAGATTAAAAGACATGACTCAATGGAATACAGGTTAGTGTGACCATATTTGCGTTTATCAAAACCAGGACACCGTACGGGGGGTGAGAGGTGGGGACTCGTCATCGACATTGCGCGACTCTCACCTGGCAAAGCTTTTTCCCACTGGACCCCGAAACATATGTGCTGCTTTGTACACTGTGCACATGGCCTCACAGTGTGAGGCCGTTGCATTCGGGACAAGTGTGAGGCTCACACTTGTCCCGAACGCAACGGAAAGCATGGAATTTCTTGTACAAGTCATCGTTAAATACGCATTTGTGCTTCGGTACGTAGCAGACTGACTGACTGTTTGTGTCTCGCTCCTTCTGAGTGCAGAGAGCGACATGTACGGACCCCTGTTTGGTCACGCTACACACAGCAACCTACACTCGGTTATGTTGATTAAAATTAACGTAATCGATGAAATTCTTAATGATCAATTATCGATTAATCGACTAATCATGCCCATCCCTAATCTGTATATAAATTTTACTGTATATAACCTCTGTATAGATACTGTCACCTGTTTGAATACTTGTAGTTTTCTCAGCTATTCCAAGTGGGAGGGAAATGTATGTGTATTTAGGTTGTGAAGAAAATATTCCTTTCATATTTTGGACCAGACACTGACATGTGTAAAGAGTCAAGAGGCACTGTCCCAATCCCACAGGAAACTCTGTTCTTTTTCCTGTCTTCAAGTGTAAAAGTTGATTAACTCAAGGCTGGGAAACAAAAGTCACTCTGCTTTGATATGCCTGTAGTTTTTGACTGGCTTGGGACTCTGAAAGGTCCGGTCTGTATGTGCTGTAAAAAAGAATAAACATGTCTGGATTTCATATCTCACCAGGCTTCACTCCAAATGGATTATTACTATTATGATCAATAATCATATAATATTTTTCCACAACACTAGCTATATATTCATGATTTGCCCAGTGACTTCAACACTTGTGCATTTCATTTCAAACTAGCTCTAATACCACATGAGCTTGTGATTTCTTGAATTAAACAGGGATGCACGTTGAACTTTCAAATGATCAATGTTCTTTAGACATCATGTAGGGGCGATGCAGGCTGCACCGTTTGGACCAAAGGAATGGGCCAAATCAGAGCGGTGATAAAACTGACTACACCACAGCGCGCTCTCTGGCCTTGGCTCCCTGTCTCCGTTACCCTGGAAACTGTTGTCCATGTAGGAAGAAGCAATTCTATTACAGCGGCCAGGAAATAGAACTATAAAGCATGACTTAACAGTTATAGAGCAATGCGCCAAAAAGGAGGAACGGGATAAAAGAGGAAACTATAGCAAAGATGAGCAAAGATTTAATAGTGATAAAAGGTTTGAAACAAGGAAACACAGACCCAGAAGATGAAGGACACACAGACTGGACTTAACACGAGGTCAGTCGATTTGTTGTGGTCAAGTAAAAAGTGAAAGTCGATGTCCTTACCTCAGCTTGAGGCTTTAGAAATGGGGCATGCCGGCGCTGCAGTCTAAACACAATCTGGATCTGAAAAAGTGAAACAAAACAAAGACAACTTCAGTACAGACAAACAGTCAGTCACAGACTCTAAACGAAACAAGGCAGGTGTTTCCACAGATTGTCAATAAAGTAATAAACAGGAACCTTTTCTTCTCCTAAGGATCAGTAATAAACATTGGATTTTTTAGGAAAGGGGGCGGAGCCAGTAATAACTGCACAAAATACATCCAACCTCAAAACCTTGTCTTAAAGTTGCATTGTGTACCGTATTTTTCAGACTATAAGGCGCACTGGATTATAAGGATTATAATGCTCCAACAATTCATCAAGTGGTACAGCTTCATATCTTACCAAAGTCGTACTAAAACATTTTGACAGATTTCTGAGCGCTGTGTACCATATAAAATTGGTTCAAGGTCAGTAAGCACAACCAGAATTAATACATAAGGTGCACCGGATTATAAGGTGCACTGTCAGTTTTGAGAATTAATGGATTTTAAGTGCGCCTTATAATAGTCTGAAAAATACAGTAACTTTTTTCTGTGGGGGGTCCTTTGAATGCTTTTCTCCATGGAGCTGTCCTTGCTTTGTTCTCTAATGTTTCACAGTATGGCATTAAACCTTTCTATCTTCATGGAGACTAAACCAGACCAAGTTATAGGTCAGATCTGTGGAGAGGCAACCTCACTCACAATCAGATTGCCTGTGTTTCGAGGCATTCTTGAGCTATTAAACCACCTGTAATTTAATAAATTGAAGGTAGAGCTGTTTAATGTCATACTGTGGAACTTTTGAGGCAGAGCACTGACACATCCATAGAAACAAGCAGGTGACGGATCCCCAACCAAAAAGTTACACAGTGTACCTTTAAGAAATATGTTATTAATCATGTAAAACAAAGTAAAACACAGGGACATAACGATAAACCAAGTTTGGGGACCCCTGTACAGAGAACAACATAAAAGCACGATGACATTGTTCTACTAGCTGAGCGAATAATAGAAAAAAGTGAGACAAATTCTTAAACATTTTACATTTTAAAAGGACACCTCATGATGTCCGTTTGTATCTAGTTATCTGGAGACTCATTTAAATTCAGCCCACGGCCTTCTAGTGGCTCTGACATGGCGGACAGCTAATGGACACTTGGCACAGATTTGATCAAAACCATGTGAAAGTGTCAGAGTGAGAAAGTGCCCAGGAGGCTGTTTAACCATATACCCCTGATCTGAGTAAGTCCCTTCATCTATTCACCATCCATCACAAACCACCTCACATTAACTAGTGCCCCTCACAATCACACAGCCCCTTTCACTCACTCCATCTGTCTCCTGTCTCATGCCCAAAGCTAAATCCACCCCTTTATTCTCCTCTACCCTCATTTCTTTATCCTTTTTGTTTTTTCATCATCTCAATACAATCTCCTTCTAGGCTAATGGAACGACGCTGTAAAGTCTGAAAACACTGACCTTAAATCCACTTTGAAAAGGCGGGTTCAGTGCAACTAAGGGACCATTATGAAGCCTATTATATTCAACGAAAATGAAATTAATAAAATAACTCATAAAGTCATGACCATTGACAAATGAACAGAATATTAGTAGAATTGGAATGATTTAAGAAGGTTCAGTAGGATCTAAATTATGAGCTACAACACTGTGTAGACTGTTGGTTTAGAAACAGAAGTTAAGCAGAAAAAATGTACATTCAACAATTTATACAGTGATTCCATTAAAAGAATAGACTTGGTGACTTTACCCCATAGTCTAAAACCAACCTGAACTACACTATACTGGCAAGTTGCCCAATGTATTACTGCAAACATTTAAAAGCAACAAGTTTTAAAAGTATCTCTATTGGCATAAAGCAGCGGTCGGCACTTGAGCCAGACTTGAGTCACTATTTTTAGGACTTGAGGCTTGACTTGATAAAACGGACTAAGACTTGGGACTCAACTTGGACTTGAAGGTCAATGACTTGGGACTTGAGCCCTGTGACTTGAGAAGATGTGATGTTTCTCTTAAATCATGCTTTTGAAAATACTTTTCTTTTCACAGTTGATAAATGTGGCGTTGAATTTTACAGGAACAAACTGAAACATGCCCCTCCCACTACTGTTTGAAACTTTGGATGGAACTGAAGTACTGTGATACTCAAATGTACTACAGTAAAATGCAGTACAATACAGTAATATACAGTATAAAAGAATAAAACAGAAGGAACTACAAACGTGATCATTCCATTTCAGTGCAGCCTACATGACAAAATAACTGTTATTTAGCACTTTTAAATCTTAATTCTTTCTATTCTGACCATAATAATTCACACTAAGACTTGTCAAGATGTTTAAAAAGGAAAAATTTACATTTCTAGAGCTCTTATATAAATACTCATATATAAATATTTCATGACTTTTTAAATACAGTTTAGTTTAAAATTCATATAAACTACTGACTGGTTTAAATACTTGAAATGACTTGAAACTCAAAGCAGATGACTTGGACTTGACTTGGACTTATTGGCCAGTGACTCGAGACTCAACTTGGACTTGCCTGTATTTGACTTGGGACTTGACTCGGACTAAAGGACAAAGACTTGAGACTTACTTGAGAAAACAATAACTTGGTCCCACCTCTGGCATAAAGTTCATCAGGCAGGTGACACATAGCATACATTACCAAAAAATGCCAGAAATGTTTAATATAGTCTAAAAACTCAAGAAAAAGTACAAAATGAATTTAAACAACACATTTTCAGGAGTCTGTGATCAATACGAGCATTCATGGGCCTGTTTAGGTGTTTCATTTTCAACAAAAAACATAAGAGTAACTAACCGAAATACTGCTAGCTCGCTCGTGACTGCAATTTTATGTGTGAGAGTCTTGTTTAAGCACACAAATCATCTCAAACCAATTCAGCTCTTTCTGGTTTGACTGTGTTAAAATAAAGCTTAGATTAAGTCTAATTTGAGTAACAGCTTTAGAGTAGTGCTTTCTGTTTGCATCACACCCACAGGGATTGTTGATGACATCAGTTGTAAAGTATCAATAGGCAATAACAGAGGCAAGTTTATGAGATTCAATTATTCAAATGAAAATGATTTGTGTCACCATACATTTCCTGAAATATATGCAAAACACTGGTTTAAAAATACCACAGTATAGTCAGGTGATAATGCTTTTATTGACTGACGTATTTCTGGAGATTTATAGTGCGGTGTGATGGGGCAGACAGTCTGTGAAGGTCAAAGCGGAGCCTTTAGGGAGAAACAGGAGTAGCATGACAGTCCCAGATCAAATAGTGATCAATGGAGAATACACACTTAACTCAGACTGGTGCCTGTCACACGTACACACTCTCACACCACTGTAAGGGGTATCAAGTTCCCCTTCTCCAGCCAATAGTGCGGGAACAGCCCCTCTGATTGTGAGGCTGCGAGTGCGTCTGACCCCCCTAAGCCTGGGAATCATTGGAACTAAGATCAAGTTACAGTTGGCTAAGACCTGACTTACTTTGTTCTGGTGATCTCAACACTAGCCCAAAGCTATAGTATCTTACATGGGTCAAATGACTCTACCAAATCCATTTCGGTGGACTTTTTTGAAATTGCACAATAGAAGAAAAAGAAATGAGTCAAGCCTACGAGCTATAAACACACCCACTTGTCTGAGGCTCCGGGAATGTAGCGGTTTTCAGAGCAAAAGAGGAGAGAGATATGATCGAAGTTTCTTTTGTGTGAGGGGCATACAATACACCACATGTGTCATCTCTGAAATCACCTAACAGCACTCGTCATTATGTCTGAAATACAATCGAGATTAAGGGTAAAATTACAGAAAAGATTTGATACCTGACTCGAGACATATAAAAGAAATACTGCTGTAGGTGTTGAACAAACCACCAGTGTACAACAAAATATGTGTCATACACTTAACTTCATGAGAAAAGTTATCAAAAGCATTGAAAATCACACACTAAATTATATTAAACTACATACTTAACACTACGGAACCCAACTGGATAATTGAAGAATTACAGATATCAGGCCCCGTGATAATATAAAAGACGTTTTTTTATTATTATTATTATCATTGTGGTATCATAATCAGTATCGAGAATTGAGTATATTCCTTCAGTATCGAAACTGAGTAAGAAAATTTAGTATATTGACAACACTAAATGCTAATCATTTAAAGAAGCACTGTGTAACTTTTCAGTCCACCTGCATGTCAATCTTCTAATGGTTTTGCTTTGCCTGGAGTGTTACGAGTCTATATTGCACATTTATTAAATTACAGGAGTTTCTATGAAAACTGCAGTTTGGTCTGGTTTTGTTACCTGTTTGTCTCCATCAACATTAAGGAAATACTGTGGAACATTCCAGGAAAAGCAATAACCCATGGAGACACACAAAAGTTATAGTGCATCTTTAAAAAAAGCATGATTTGTGTTTATTTATTTTTTTTATAATACAGTTATAAAAACTGACAATCATAAAAGACAAATATTTTAACTACAAAATTAGCAAGTTTGCACATTGGAAAAAATGAAAACCAAAGTGGAGACAAACAAAAACAACTGCAACAGTGAACTGGTACAACCTAAAAAGGTTGGTCATGCAGATTGGGATGATCACAGACTACTGTTTATTCCACACAAATAAACAAGTATTCCTGGCATTGAAAAGTGTTTAAATACCCACAATGTTGGTATATACAATAGTTTCCAACCACGCAAAATGTGCTCGGTGCTGTTTCCACGGGATCAGCTTTGTTGTCACTGGACTCATTCATGGTGGAAATAATCTGTTTGACATGTTGGATAATGATGATGTTCATTTCAGAAAGACCAAATATGTTTAGTCTCCCTATCACTAATAAAATGACACCATTTGAAAGGCATGATTGTTGTAAAGTGGTCCAAAACGAGTGGTACGAGCCAAACCCATCTCTCAAATACAATAACAGCTCTTTGTAAAAGCGCTCCAGTCCTGCCAATAACTCCAGCAGAGGAATCAGAGTGGATGG